AAAAAGCTGCCTGCTTCTACATAAAATACTGGTTTCTGCATCGTGGTCTCCTGACTTAAACAGGAACAGTTAAAAATGCTTTCACTTTTTTACTGTGTGATTATTGCAAACTGTGACACTGAATGTGTGAGGTACATACGAGTACACAAACGTCAAACTAGTCATACTGGACGTACTCCCTAGTCCACAGACTGGATTATCGGATTGTGCCAAGATGTGGCAAGCTTAGCTAACATAGGAGTACACGAGAAAGGAGACGTGGAAAAGGTCCTGATCTAATTCTCAAACTACTGTCTGAACGTCAAGTGTGAAAAAAAATGAATGAAAATAGAAGCAGGCTGTGGTGTGCAGGCTACAAGGATGAAGCGGCAGGTTCCTCGTCTATCTTTGAGCCAGTATTTCATGCTTTAAACACAATAAATATTTCAATATATTTTAACTTGGCAACAGAGACTCTGCCTGCAATGTTTTGCAAAAATACTTTAGAATAGTTTAATAAAAAATGTGCTGTTTTTCTTTTGAGTTCTTTAAATTTAAAAAAGTACAGGTGATGGTGAAGCAGTGATTGTACTGTGTCGCAGACACAGGAAGCTGAAGACTTGACAGCCAAGTAGTCCTTCCTGTTAGGCTTCTTTGAAGTCCACCAGCAGGGCACAGACATGGTTGTTTCACTGTCTCTGCAGTCGGGCCGTCATAAACAATTGGTAGTCACATGGACGTCTGTTTAGAGCCTCACAGTCTAATTCCTAACAGAGACCATCTGATCTGCATTTGCATAATCTCAAGTGACTTTATGTCAATATGCATAAGTGTGCATCTGTCAACAATCAGCCCCTACCTTGTTCCTCAGTATGATGCTGTCTTTGTGGCTAACATTCAGCGCTAACACAGAGTCCCGGGCTCCAACATATAATATGTCCCCATCCTCACTGAGCAGCAGCGTGGTGGTGTTGCTGACATCGTGGCTGTTGAAGCGGATGAGACGTCTCCCAGGACTATCTGTTATCAAACAGCAGTTTGTATCAGGACAAAGCATGTTAGGATTAAATATCCACAGATAACTAAAAGGATCCAGATATAACCGGCTACAGAGTGTTAACTGCTTAGATGTCGAAGAACTCGGTGTCTGCGAAACGTCTCTTCCACGTTTATTATGTCACAGAAAATATTGTGACCACGCTATCTAGTCACTTATTCAACACTAAACACACAATTCACAGTGCACACAGAAAGAATCCACATTTCATTATAACCGGATTCATTTTACCTCAAAGCTTAAACACAATAGTCCATAATGACAAAGTGAAACAAGGTTGAAATGTAAAAAAATATAACGTACATACGTGTTCACAGCCTTTGCTACGACACTCAAACTTGAGGTCAGCTCAATTCTGTTTCCACTGATAATCTGTGAAGTGTCACGTGACTGGTGATAAATACAGCTGATTGGATGCCACACCTGTCTAAGGCCCCATAATTGACAGTGCATGTCAGAGCACAAACCAAGCCGTGAAGTCCAACCAACTGTGTGCCGACCTCGGAGACAGGATTAAACCAAGACACAGATCTGGGGAGAGGAAACATTTCTGCAGCATTGAAGGTCCCAATAAGCACAGAGGCCTCAGGAAGAAGTTTGGAACCAGCGCTTGGAGTCAAAGGGCCGTTGTAAGGCAGATGATCAAGAAGTTCAAAGTCACTCTGACAGAACTTCACTGTTGGTTTGTGGAGAAAAGAGAAACTTCCAGAATGACCATCTCTGCACCACTCCACCAATCAGGCCTGTACGGCCAGGTGGAAAATTCACCTGAGGGACTTTCAGACCATGAAAAACTAAATTCTCTGATCTGATGAGACAAAGATCTAACTCTGTGGTCTAGATACCAAGCACCATATGTGGAGGATACTCTGGAGGCACTGCTTAGCACCTGGCCCCTACCATCCCTACAGTGAAGCACGGTGGGGGCTGCATCATGCACCATCAGGAACTAGGGGACTAGTCAGGGTCAGAGACATCCTTGATGATAACCTGCTCCAGAGGTACTGAAACACAGCCAAGATAACAAAGGAGCGGCTTCACTGTGTCAATGTTCTTGGGTAGCCCAACCAGAACCTGACCGAACATCTCTGAAGAGATCTGAAAGTGGTTGTGCACGGATACTATTGCTGTTATTTTTTATGCATCTTCCAGAATTTCAACCTCTTTTTTACTTACATGTGAAACAAGCACTGAAACAGTGCCCTGTACTTGCATTATAATCAGACACTGAAGTGTACAATCTCACAGTACTCCATCTAACATGATAACTGTCAACTACATTTGTGTCCCAGTTAATTTGATTAACATGATTTTGCCCTTTTTTTAAATTCATGAGGTTTCAGCACAATATCTGTGCACAAGAATCGATTTCGTATATGAAAGACGTGAGAGAACAAACACATCGCTGTGCTTTGTTCTATCCCTAATACATTTAAATGACCCAACATGATAAAGGGGGTAAAAATGCACGTGATGTTTCAAAGGCTTCACTCACCCATGAGGAAGGAGACTCTGGGAGTCAGTGTTGTCACACATGGGCACAGAAACCCCAGCAAGGCCAGGGCGAGTGGCAGCAGGATGGGGATCTCCATCACAGCAGGAATAATGGAGTCTGGCCTCGTTTACACTGAAGTTCACATACTCTGCTGTCCATCACTCCATCTGAGACACATGCACACACGTTACCGTACAGTCCTCTAATCAAATGCATTGATTTGTGTTGTTTCAACGGTGAGTTTGTGTAACTCCGTTAATGTTTATATGCCTAAGCATCAAAGCTACAGGTTTAGAAATCAGAGATATCACCTATGAGGAGAACATGAGGAGGAACATGAGGAGGAACATGAGGAGGACATGAGGAGGAACATGAGGAGGACATGAGGAGAACATGAGGAGAACATGAGGAGGAACATGAGGAGGAACATGGGTCCGTCGCTGCGTTTTGTTTGTTCAGCTGTGTCTTTGTTTCTTGCTGTGATGAAGAGTCACAGCTCAGGCAGCGTCTCGACGTTTCCACAGTGTGGAGATGTCGCTGATTTAAAAAACACGAACCTGAAGATGAGCTCGACCCTGTAACGCGACACATACACGCGGACGGCTCCGCCAGCACAGCCCGCAGAGTTTACAGATTACTGCTGGGGCGTTTTACGTGGAGTAACGATGCAATGACGACAGTTTCTTGTGTACTAAATAATCTTAGAAAAACTTACAGAGCGACAACACAAAGACAGAAAAGTCAGCTTACGTTTCCTTTCCTCCCCGTTTTCCTTCCATCGCTCCCAAACCACCAATATTCTGTCCAACACTCGCGGATCAGTAACGCGAGGAGAAAACGCTGACCGTGGTTCAGCCTTTACTATAACAACAATGCCTCCTCCCATTCGCAGATCTAGGAAGCCCGGCCTCCACCTGCAGGGCGGCCGTACTCATTACAACGTCCGAGCAACAGGCCCTCCTCAGGCCCCAGGTTCAAGCTGCGTGTACCAGGGGTCTCAAACCAAATGCGCTGTGGGCCACGTTAGTGTTCAAGTAGTACAAACAAACAAACCAACAAACAAAGAAACATTTCTGAAAATGTAGTTGTTTTTTAAATATCAAATATTGCATAATAAGATAAAACTGCATTTTCCTCCCTCTTAACTAACTGAAGCCTTTCATTGAACTACCAAATAAACTCATTGGTCCTCTCTGCCTGTGCACACGTGGCAGCACTTCTGCTGTCATTGTGTTCATATTTAACAAAACCGAAGTGCAGACATAAGTGTGCGCATTAGTTTGTGAGTCTGTCAGTGAACTAACACACCCTCTCATGTTTGTGCCTCTGCTCATGTTGCCTTCATATTCAATCATTTGAAGAACTTATTTTAACATTTCACTCAACAACAAACAAAAAAGTCACTTTAAGGCTGCATTATATCTCCTCACATCAGTGTGAGTAGGCCGCAGGTGGGCCCTGGGCTGTGACTTTAAGACCCCTGGTGTATACAGCATGGCCTCCTCTTTAACAAGGCCTTTAGAAATAATATGTGGACACCTTGGTGTGGGTTTGACTACTTGACTAATGACCAACAGGTTTCCATCTCATATCGTTTAGATGAGTGATAATTTTTATCTTTCCAGGAAGAAATAAGTAAACACACAAAACAAACAAAAAAGCAAAATCCTGACAGGAAACTGGTTTGTAGGACAGCTGTGATGTTTAGTCCAGCTGCAGGATGGTCAGATTCAACTTTTTTACACAAGTAAAAGTGAAAAAGTACATGCTCTGAAAAGTACTCAAAGTAAGAAGGCTAAAATATTATTCTAGTAACAAAATAATGTCAGTACACGGGGAATACCAACAAGTCTAATAAGTGGACTTAGCTTGTAGAACACGAGCAGAGAAAAAGAAGGAAATAAATAAATAAATAATGGCTATGTCCTGTTGTAGAGAACAACTTTGTCTCTAAACAGGGAAATGAGTCAGATGAGCAGGACTCACAATAATTTCTGTTGAGATGTCTTTAGTGTGCAGGCTGTGATCAGCTGATGTGTGCTGCTCTGAGTGCATTTATACCTCTGCATTCAGCAGCCTTTGTCCTGGCTGATTTCTATGCTCTACAGTAGAAAGTTCAATGACTGACTGAAGCATCACCAGCTTAACTTTAAACACTAGATGTAACTCTGACCATGAGCACCAGTCACATGCTGTTCAGTACTTTAACTTCACAGTACAGTAAACTAATAGTTAACCTGCACTAATCTGATGACTGTTTTTAAATAACACAAAGTTACCTTTGTTCAAGACACTGTCACATGTACAGACACAGCATCTGGTTTCAAAACACTTACATGTAAACTTTATATTTCCAGTTTATCAAACAGCATCCTTACCTTTGAATATAACTGCGCTTCCTCCTCTCCTGGTCTGTTGTGTTTATCTTTCTCCATCTCTGAGTGAAGTTCACATGCAGGATGTCTCAGGCTATGGTACACGGAGAAGTGAAGAGAAAGCAGTTCCTGCCCTTGCTTTGTACATGTCAGTAGTATATACATGACATCCAACAAGACAAGCCTTCATTGTGAGTTCGATTAAGTCTTCAACCAACCGATGTTCCTTTTTTGTTTCTTGTTGCAGTATGTTAGCTGAACAACACGTCTCTAGTTATGAATTTTTACATTAGCACACAACATGTAAAGTGTTTTTATAAACACATATCTGGCATGAGGTCAACATGTGTCACGTGTGGACATACCTTTTGTTAGGAATCTTGCTGTTTTTCTTGATTTCTATCCTGATGCTTTGCTGGGGAATCTTGATCTGACTCAAAAATCTCCCTTCGGGTTGTTTCACCTGCAGACCCCGTTATACACAAACCAGGTGTAGCTGCAGAATCAGTCAAACCACACTGATGTGACCATCAAAACGCAGTTTGCTCTTTGAGACGATGCATTTATTAGCTTCATTTCAAAGTTCTTTGCTGATCTAAACATCCATTTAGCTGTCATGTCCCAGTATTACATACAGTGGAAGCATATATTACTATTTACCAGTATTCCCAGCACTAACATAAGGTCCAAGCCACAGCATGTGAAATTAGTGTTCTTCAGAATAAGTCACAGGCTTCACTGTGAGCGCAGCAGCGGGTAAGATGGCTAATGAGGAGAAAAGAAGATTGGGGAGGATTATCAGTGACCTGGAAACAGCCATGTGGTAACAGACTGAATGCCTCTCAGTATCAAACATGAAGGTGTTAAGACAAGTATAGCAAAAGTTTGTGAATCCTTTGAGATTTTCCATATTTTCGCAGAAAAATAACATAAAAAATAATGAATTTATAAGTCAGAAGGAGAAGCTAATCAGTGAATGATATGTGCTACAAAAGGAAGATTTCTGAAGAATTCAGTGCAAAGATTTCTTGTTGCTTTGCACACTGGAAAAGGTTACAAAGCCACCTCTGAAGAGTTCACATACAAAGTCCACGTTCAAAATTGTCAAGAGCAACAGTTACTCTTCTAGGAGTGATCGACCACTAAAGGTCATTACAAGAGCAAAACATTTAATATTCACCAAAGAATCCATGTTAACCTTTAAACAGCGTCAGGTTCTCTCTCTGCCAAGCATGCTGGTAACACTCTGGCAGCTGGAGCGCCAGAAACAAATGCATAAAATAAGAGAAATTTACCATCAAGTTTTTCACAATTAAAATAAAGAAAATGTCCATATTTTTTACAAGATAATAAAAAAGTCGTTTTATGTGAAAAATCTGGTACTTTTATTCCATAATTAATACCATCATTTACCAGCTATTTTAAAAAAAGTGCAATTACAGTATACTGTTAATTACAGTTCTTACCAACTACACACTGATGGATGTGAATACTGAAAGACCTGAGCTTAATAAAACACTGGCTTTACTTCATGTAATAACATGATAATACTGCCATAAAAACATTAGCACTGTTCACTTTGCTATATTTGTTCTTAAAAACATTTTAAAGTAATAAAAATCTTCTGCTGCTGTATGTCTTTATGCAAATTTTCACTTAAAACTACAAAAAAAGAACAAAAGAATGATGAGATTTTGTTTTACAATGAAAACTCACTTCCTGTGCCTGAACATTTAATTCTGCTAACAAACAGACCAAAACAGAAAACTACAACAATTTGTTTTGAAAAACAAATAACTGTGTTCAAATGGCTTTTATTGAGCTATAAAAAACAAGCAGAATTAAAATGAAAAACATCTGGCAACTAAACCAAGAGTCACGCTGAACGTTTCGCTGGTGCTGCAGAAACTCTGTGCAGACGGCAGAGTTATGTTTCAGTTTAGGTGCAGCTGACGTTCGCTGTGAAAGACTGTGGTAGAGATACCAGGGGAAGCAGGACAGGACTGTAGAAAGGTAAGCACTGTGCCTCAGGACCGCTGTCTTTGTGCAATGAGGAACAGAACAAACGCTGCCAGTCCTTTAGTAGCGGGACGCGCTCACATTCCAGCACCAGCCAAATCGTCTGACGTTCCCCAAAGAATACTGGAACTGGCTGGTCTGCCATGGCATCCCATTCTCTTCACAAATGAGAGCACATCATTTCAGGGAAGAGGACGGTCAGCCACCTGCTCAGTTTTCTTCCCTTTATCACCTTTTGCTAAGATATCTGGGAAAGGCATCTGTTGAGTTAAATTGAAAAGAAGGGCAAACAATTAGTAATCAGTGACACTTCACATTGGGCTGATACTAAGGATTTTCTTCACTGGGAAGCTACACACAAACTGAACACACAGTGTGAGGGAAGGTAAGATGATGATGACAGAGAAACAGACGATATATACAAAAGAGGGAATCAGGCAGAGAGGGGACGCAAAACTGAAGACACACACGAGATGAGGGTCTGTCACAATAAAACAGCAAGTATCACATACGCACACAGATAAAGACACGTGAGCTTGACATAGAGACAGAACACATAGATATTAGACAGACACACAACACAACTGGGAAGAGCACAACAGGAAACTAACAACCAAGGTAGAGAACGAGAACCATAGTTACCAAACTCAGACGTGACGAGGTAGATACTTCAGAAAGAAAACTATAAAAACCACTGAACCACAATGCTGCCCAGTGCTTCAGACAGTTTCAGGTTTGAACAGGCTCCAGTGTTTGCTTTTCAACTGTCTCTGTTCATTGGAGCAAAAACCAGGGCTGGACTGGTAATCTGGCATACCTTTGAACAGTACCAGCAACAACTAGTTACAACTAGTAACAGCTTGTAACAGCTACAAGCAGCTAGTAACCAGACCTGCTGCTCGCATCAGCTGTGGAGAAGTAAGGAAGAGATGGAGGAAGGTGAAATTAAATGGTAAGAAAACAGATGAAGGGACGTAATCAGGAAGGGAGAGATCCAAGGATTAAAATGAACGGTTGCTTTGATCACGAGTCACTGCTAATAGCTCAAGTGTGACTTTTAATTATTGTCACATGTTGCAGGCAACTAAGAACTAACCCAACAACAACTGTACCTGATTAAAACCTTTTTCAATAATAATAATCATACAAAATGAAATATATACACATATACATTTTTGTCCCGGTCCAGCCCTGCAAAAACTGTCAATAACTGAAAACGTGCAGCAGTGCACATCCAGTACTAATCCAGTTAGGGGTAAACTGCTGAAAACAGCTCCCCAGATTGTCTCAGACTGAACAGGATATTCTACGGTTCCATTCATCCATTTGTTTAAGCAGCTAAAGTCATATTTTAAGCAAGAGTGGGCAAGTTTGTTGTTGGGGCAGTCACCAGCAGTCAACAAGGAGTTTGGCAGGTGGATTTTCTTATGTCTTTATCCTGTCTTCCTTCTCTCACCCCAACCGGTCGCAGCAGATGGCCCCGCCCCTCCCTGAGCCTGGTTCTGCCGGAGGTTTCTTCCTGTTAAAAGGGAGTTTTTCCTTCCCACTGTCGCCAAAGTGCTGCTCATAGGGGTCATATGATTGTTGGTTTTTTCTCTGTAGGCTCTACCTTCCAATATAAAGCACCTTGAGGCGACTGTTGTTGTGAACACCTCGAGCTTATTTTCTTAGCATCGGCTGTTGTTCAGTGCACTTAGGATATGATTATTACTAATGTCACAGTTTTCATTCCACTTTTATGTGTGATATTTTTTTACAAAACAGTCAAACTCTTACAATAGATTCTCCCTTGAAATATAAAGACTCTAATATTTAATCTTGACTCATTTTAATGAGGTGGGAGTCTTTTTTTCATCTCTCACATGATGCTCTTAACAGCAGTGCACCTTGTAAATAATCTACTTGCCGTTTTAAAAGTGAAGTTGTCTGCTGGGACATCTCAGTGGGATCTACACTTACAACATTTGCATGTGTCAATTAGGAAATTGAGTCAGTTATGAATGGTAGTAATTCACAGTCAGAGCAGAAAGAATATGTTGGTGCACACACTTTAAACAGTGAAGTAACTGTTTAACTGCATGGGCATAGATGCAGGTTTGTCATTTACATTACTATCTAACCAAATGTGGGCAGAGATATAACCTGAAGCTCGTCTATCTGCTGAATCCACAGTGAACTTCATTTCAGCTGCACTTCACAGAGCGTCACAGCTATGTTGAAACTCAGTGGATTTTGGCTTATTGTTCAGCTGTCTTTGGCAGCAGGAATGAACTCTGGTAAGATCATTATATGGTTTTTTTAAAAACATATCTGGATGTCTTGTTTTGAAATAGCACTTCTTTCATCGTAGAATTGTTAAAGACGGAATATATATCAGTAACATGATATCTTAAAGTCTACAGCACCATTGTTAGTGGTCTTTACAGTGATAATGTATTTCTGTACATATGTAAAACAAAGCTACTTAATTTTGATCTGCAATAATAAATAAAAATGCATCAGTGGAAAAAAAAATGTCAGAAATAACTTTAATTCAGCCACCAAATGAATCCTCAGTAAGAGGATAGTTTGAGCACGTTGGGAGAAGCATGTGTCAAACTTGGGCCAGGCTAGCTTGTTCCTGTTTTTTGGTCCTTTGTTTATTTAGTGGGTGACTGATATTAGGACTCAGTAGGCAGATGGCCCTCCAAGCCCCTCATCGGCATACTCTAAACTACCCTTTGCAGTGGGGATAGTGGGTGCTGACCAGTGAGTGTAGAAAACACTACAGTCAATTGGTGCTCACGTAGGTCATACTCCAGAATGTTGTTGTGGCAGCCCCGGATCTGGTGGGGTTTGGGGAACTGGGGAGCTGGCCCTCTCCTTCCATGGGTAGTCCTTATTATACGTTTCTTAGGCTGGAGTGGGGAGGGAAATTTGTGCGGGTTTGTTGACTGTGCCTTGTGGCCTTGTGGCCATCTGCCCCCCACACTGTCATTATGGTTTATGACATATCACTGTGCACATAGGACCTTCCCTGATAGTACATTCAGACAGATTTATTGTTTGATTCTCTGTCATTGCAGACTGGAATGTTCAAAGGAATCAATCCACCGTCATTCCAGGACACTGGTAAGCCACCACATGATGTAACAGACCGATACTTTTAACACTAGATTAAGCCTGGCAGGGAACAAGCACTGCATATCTGTAGGTTCAATGTTACATAGAAAAACAATGTCCCTTGAAATTGACAGAGAATGCTCCTAATGAGACAACAGATCGTGTCCTGGGGCATCTCCTTCCAGATCTGGACCAGGGTATCACTGAGCTCCTGGACAGTCTGAACCTGGCAGTGATGGATGGACTTTCATATACAGTAATGTCCTGGAGGTGTTTTGTTGGATTTACGTCTGTGTAAGGGCAAGTCAGTCATATCAATTTCTTGATCCTTCAATGCTCTGATCAGAGGATGAAGGAATACTCGGGCACTGTTGTGCACAGGAGGAACCAAGACCGTCTGCACTAGTGTAAAGTCTGATGATGGGTCCATGGATTTCATCCCAATACCTAATGGTAGTCATGGTGTCTGCTTCCCCAGACCATCACTGAGCCACCACCAAACCAGTCGTGCTGAATGATAATATAAGCACCAAAACATTCTTCGTGGCTTCACCAGGTGAACCTGCTGTCTGTGCTGTGCTGTGGAAATCAGTGGTTTCCAGTTGTAGACCTACCAATTCTGGTATTT